ACCAGTTCTGGCCCCAGCAGCCATGGTTCCAGCCCCAGTTCTGGCCCCAGCAGCCATGGTTCCGGCCCCAGTTCTGGCCCCAGCGGCCATGTTCCAGAACCAGTTCTGGCCCCAGCGGCCATGGTTCCAGACCCAGTTCTGGCCCCAGCAGCCATGGTCCCAGCCCCAGCGGCCATGGTCCCTCCTCTAGTCCCAACTCAAGTCCCTTCTCTAGTCCCTACTCAAGTCCCTTCTCCAGTCCCCTCTCTACTCCCTCCTTAGTCCCTCCTCTAGTCCCTACTCAATTCCCTTCTCAAGTCCCTTCTCTAGTCCCTTCTCCAGTCCCTCCTCTAGTCACTTCCCTCGTCCCTTCCCTAGTCCCTCCTCTAGTCCCTTCTCTAGTCCCCTCTCTAGTCCCTTCTCGAGTCCCCTCTCCAGTTTCCTCTCAAGTCCCCTCTCGAGTCCCCTCTCCAGTGTCCTCTCCAGTGTCCTCTCCAGTGTCCTCTCAAGTCCTCTCTCCAGTACCCTCTCCAGTACCCTCTCGAGTTTGCTCTCGAGTCCCCTCTCGAGTCACCTCTCGAGTCCCCTTTCTAGTCACCTCTCTAGTTCCCTCTCGAGTCCCCTCTCGAGTCCCCTCTCCAGTGTCCTCTCAAGTCCTCTCTCAAGTCACCTCTCCAGTACCCTCTCGAGTTCGCTCTCGAGTTCCCTCTCGAGTCCCCTTTCTAGTCACCTCTCCAGTTCCCTCTCCAGTCCCTACTCANGGTGAAACTGGTAGGTTTTCGCCTGTTTGGGGAGTTTATATCCAGTGTACCTCGTTTAAACATTGAATGGACAGCTAGCCTATATATACTGTCTATGCCTGCTAGCTGTCCATTCAATGTTTAAACGAGGTACACTGGATATAAACTCCCCAAACAGGCGAAAACCTACCAGTTTCACCCACTATCTCTGCCACCTCCCTCCATGCCTGGCTCCTCCGGTTTGTATCCCGGTAGATGAACAGAGACTGATCATACAGCACCGGTTGATTCACTACTCGCAGCCTACACACGGTTTGATTGGCTAGCAGTTGTACTGGCAGATTTTTATAAACGGGATTTGATTGGCTGACGCTTCCGTCGAAGCTTCGAGCAACGCGTAGCTACGCTCCCCACAATGCAGTTCGGCAAAGCGTGACGTCACCCCATTCAAAGTGAATGGGCAGAAGCGTTGAAGCTTCAACGCACGCCGCTGTGTGGACGGGCCGTGAGTCTAACAATAATGAAAGGTTGCAGTGCTAAATTGCTGTAATAGGTGAGAAATGACACCCTTGTTAAAATATGATTACACCATTTTTTTAAGATTACTGTCCTAAATGTCTTTCCATTGCAACTCTAATACCCATCACCATTATAATAAAACAAACTGAGAGCATATTTTACACCCTGGAGTTAACCTCACCTGCGCACTGTGAACATACTATGACTATACAAGGCAAGCCAGATTAAAATGTCCCAGTTATAGGTAACAGTATTCTGCCCTCCTGTGATTGACAGCGACCTTTTCAGTGTCCATATGAAGCGTCCCAGTCGTTGTGCTTTCCCCACACACTTACCCAAGTAGATAATTCCTATTCTCAGCCAGCGTGAATGGGGGGGGGGAATTGAGATGGCCACAAATGGACAGAAATTGCTCTAAAAGCTACATATTATGGTGCAGTGTGGGGGTGTTAGTGTTTCTGGAGCCCATTCTGACTGAGGTTCAGGTGTATTGTCAAGTATTATTCGTTGTTGTGGTGCATTGCAGTAAAACAATTATGTATTACATAATACGAGAAAATACATAAAACACAAAGTCAAGAAATCCTTACATAAAATGGAAAAATACAATACAAATAAATTCAGTTGCCAAAAGCTGAAAAAATATATAGATTTCAGACTTGTATTTCCTTTTTAGGGAAGAGGTATGGGATAACAACCTACAGCAGTCCTTTAGCAATGAAGTAAACCCTTTGGAAGTTTGTGCAAGTCCTTCATGCCTCCCAAATTTGTGTGCAGTAGATGAACACTAAAGAAATTTACTTGAGAAACTGACGGCAATGGAAAATACATACTGTAAGTCCACGTTTATTCACCAAAGTCGCCTTGAAGAACGTCTTATATTATTATTTTTGACCGAAAGATCAAGGAAATAACACATTTGCAATTGAGTTTGCTTTAAAAAACAGAATTAATGAATTTTATTATATTTTCCCAATATTCTTGCATTTTAATTTTTACATTGTAAAATGTAAAAAAAAAGCGTTATTTTTACCAATAAACCCTACATTTATCACAATCACAGTTCAGATTACATTAATTAATCATGCCTAGAGTAAACTAATTAAAGTTGTGTTTGAGGTTCACAAGATAACATAGTTTTGGTAATAGGAAAAAACAACATGTCAGGATATACCAGACAAGATTTATTATAGCACCCAATACAAACAAAAGATCAAGTTGGAAAAAAGGGACAATATTGCCTTTGAGGATAAGAGATTAGTAGCCGCCCACCTTGAAGAAGAAGAACAGGACATGGAGCAACATCACATTAGCTTTGTGTCGGCTACAGAGTTTAATCACAGCTGCTCACAGTGAGTTTTAGGACTGAAAAACGTCACAAATTACTGACTGAAATTAGCCGGTTTAGCAGTTTTAAGAGTAATGGGAGCGGCACTGTAAAAAACGTAGCACTCTGGAAAGAATCTATCATTTTTATTATATGATTTGGAAGAAAAATGAGACTTAGAAAAGAATGAGGCATTGCTGACAGATTTGATAAATGACATCCCTCCTCCAGGTTGATTTAGTGAAATGATATGTCTGTGTCAGTTTGCAAGTAGGATGTCATATATTTAAAACATATTCGGATGTTTTTTTTATTACATGTATACTTCTGAAATGGAATCTCAGCAGGATCATTCTTTTTCTATTTTTTGTACTGATGACTGAGCTTCAAGGGAACTGTCTTAAAATCAGCAAGCATCCAAACCCGCAGAATTATGCATTGTGTGTTTGCTTGAACCCAGCCGCTTTTCAAAATTGCAGAAAATTGCTTTTCCTCTTGCATCCAGTTTCATTTACGTCAATCAAATCCTTGCTATTCGCAAGACGAAAAAGCTCTGCAGTTAGTAGAATCAACAATGAAGGTCATAGTCTTGAACTTTATACAGTCTATGGTCTTGAACTGCTGCGAACAAAAGCCAGTCATTTATATTTTTATTGCGCATAGTGCTCAAAGTACTTGGAAGCATCCTTCAATTCTTGACAGCTGTTCAACAGTATCTTAGGTCCAAGCTGCAGTTTCTACATATAAATGAGCTTCCTTTACATAATAAGCGCTTGCCAAACAAGTTCCCACAATGCTGATGACGCCTATAGCCGCCAGCTCAATCTCTGTGGATCTCATCAGAAAAAAGGTTCACAATCAAGGGGACTGAAGTATCCAACTGTGTAGTGCATATCTAAAAGATTATTTGTGATGCCTTCATATATGGTGAAGCAGAACCCAGCAGAACATCTGGCTCTGTGAGCCCTACGCATAACCTCACACTCTCTGAAAGCCACAATGCAACTTCACAGGTTACAAAAATAAGTCATTTTGTATAGAAGTCGAAGAGAAAATATCCCTGCAAAGAGGAAAAAAAAAAAAGATTGCGACGGATAAAGTGCCCAACTCAAGGCTTCAAAAAAATAGTCAACATACTCAAGGGTCACGTCACGGTGACTACGTCCACTTGAAGTTTATAATAGAACACACTTCATTCACACAACGATCGGAAAGTGAACATTTTCAGGCACTGATTACTTGAAAAAAAACGTGGGTTTGAACATTGCAGAGTGTAATCAATATATAACCCCTACTTCCATGTAAGAGAAAATGATTAAAGGAAATTACCACAGATAAAGAACATATTACACTTTAACTAGCAAATGATGTATTATGTATAACCATGTTGTTGATGTGTTGACAGCTTGCCCCGGATGACGCCTGGAAGTGTCCCCACTGTAAGCAGCTTCAGCAGGGCATGGTGAAGATGAGCCTCTGGACTCTTCCTGACATACTGATCCTCCACCTCAAGCGCTTTCGACAGGTATGTGAGCCTTAAAGTGGGGAAAACAGTTCACGGGAAAGAAGGAGTTCAGCTTGAATTGAATCATTTAAGCCTTGAAGTTGATCCTATTGACATATATCAATTAACAATTGACTAAATTACTGTTCACTGTGAAAAGGGACACTCTAATGGACAAACCCAGAGAGAACCATGAACTGCAGTTCCCCCTCCCCGTTTCGGTTCAACTTATTTTCAGCACAAAGGAAACAAGAAATTCCACTTTGTGCTCTCACCAGCATCAAACATCTAACAACCTTAGCTACCAGTTATTGTTACTTTTATCAGCTTGATAGCCAGATATTTCCCTTGTGGTGTAGAACACAAAATAGCTAATAGAATAGCAAACATGTATCACTTGGCTAAGAGAAAAAACAAACACTGAATGCTAATGTTTTCTGGGATCGGTGGATATATGTGAACGTAATTGTTTGTAAACACATTTCCCTGAACACCTTAATATGATAACAATAAATCAATATTGTGTTTCTTTAACGTAAGTAAAGAAAATGTTCTCCTGGTAATTGTTACATCCAATATTCTGAAAGTAGTACAGATACAGGCTGTGACTGACTGAGAGGATATCAGGGAGGGGTTAGATAAGTGTTAGAGTTATAAAAGTAAGATGCATGAAAGACAGTTAAGTAGTATTGATATTGCAAGGCAAACTGTCGCTCAGTTAGTATTACATTTTGTCTACATATTTGACTGCAAATCCTCTCTCCAGCCTCCCATAGAAACACAATATGTACATTTCCAAACATTGAACCATACCGTCTCATGTTTTTTTATGTTTCTGTTTATGGGAATTATTATTTACTTCCCAGCTTCCCAGATCGTTTTGTGTACCAAAGCATCTGGCACATGAGATTCTAGTTTTCCAATAGCTGCACACACCTGACATGAGGAACACCCACATGGTGTTTCATTTCACAGCTGGCACTAGCCGCTCCAATCCCACAGAAGTTGAAACACTTTGACATTACACGTACCAAACTCCAGTTTTGCTGCCAAGGTTAAGTCCTAGCTTTGCCTCCAGCGTTGTCCAGTGCTTGATTGGCATCCCTCGCCCTCAGCAAATAAGCAGGTGGCCCTATATTCAGCCATTACTCAGTCATGGCCATTGCTACTTTGACCATTGTTATTTTTTCCCAGCTTTTGACTCTGTGCCAAGGCCCAGTTCTGCCCTGGAGACTTAACCAACACAGTGTCTGAGGTTGTGGGGGTATGCATAACCTTCAATCACAGCCTTCAATCAGGAGAAAATGTGCCAATCCCAGGAGGGGGACCGAGGCTTTTACAGTGAATAGTCATTTCAATGGGAGATATTTACATTTTTGGCGATAAATAATATATGATCGTTTGTACAAAGGAGGGGAAGCACTCTAACAGGAAGGTTCACTTCATGGCAAAAAATGAAAGATTGATAAAGTATTTCATGAGCAATGTTGACAATTACTGCCAAGCAGTAAAAAGGTTATGATAAACGTGGCCCAAAGTCACCTATCTTATGGCATTTGTTGGAATGGATCCAGTTTAGTAGGTTATGTGGATATCTTTGTGCCAGGGTAAAGTCTAAACTTTTCACATACAGCACCTCAAGGGCAACGACTAGGTCATTTCATGGTTTTGAGGGCTTCAGTGGCTTCAAATCTCTCTCTAATTTGTAGTAATCACACCCAGAGGTGCAAAAAGTCTCAAGCTGATTTTTTAAAAATCTTTGTTTAACGCAATTGCTGCAACATCACTGATTGGGTAGTAATCCAAAGGACATATACGTGCTGGAAGGTTACTATACACTCCTCTAGTTTTTCTTCCCCATGCAAATGTGATTCATCACTGCGTCATTTTAATTAGAGTCTTAAATTATATCCTGCTTAATTAATTTGACAGCTTTTTAATTAATACTGGGATAATTGTTAAACCCGCTGTTCTTGGATAATCACAATAAACAGTGTTTTATGTTTCATGCCTGCACATACACATACTCTATATGTATTGTTGGAACAGGTAGGCGAGCGGAGGAACAAGCTGTCCACCCTGGTCCGTTTCCCCCTCACTGGTTTGGACATGGCCCCCCATGTGGTGAAGAGGAGTCAGAGTATGAAGAACCTGAACTTGGGGGCCTGGCCTCCTCCTTGGAAGCAGTCCTCAGGCCAACACCAACCTGACCTGACCCTCCCCCAGGACGCTCTGTACGACCTCTACGCTGTGTGTAACCATCATGGAGGAATGCATGGGGGACACTACACTGGTAGGGATTTTAGTGCTATAATACATCATTGACCATGCAGTAACTCAGTCTGTTAAGGGTTTTCTTTGCCATCTAATTCATCTATGAGTTGTATTGTTAACAGAAAATGCATTTATATTCTATTAATATCTGCAAAAAAAACATCTGGTGAAAAGACCTTCACAAATAAGTAATTGAGTATACTAAAGATAAACGTTGACTTGCCATAAATCAGGTCTGAGTACATGAGTGCACATACATTTGTTGCCTGGCCCGTGCTTTTAAACATTGCCGATTGAAGCTGAGTGCTGACTTTTATACACTCCCCCTGGCTCTGAAAACATTTACCTCCATTTTTTCTTTGTCTAATTGAATACAAATGTTGCATATCCAATAATTGGTTTGTGCACCATTGGTTTTGATGAGAATCCCATGTATACACTTTTTTGTCAGGTACATAACGTTGAGTATCCACTGTATGAGTTGCACAATATGTTGGCATTTTTAGTCATATTGAAGAAAGTGTTGAACATTTTCCAGATGTCAGTATCATGAGTGATAGATAGGTCTGATTCCAATTTCATTTATAGAACCGGTACAGTTTGTTCAGACTGTAATAATATTCTCTGTTAAGGTTAGTTTATTTACATAGCATATTTTATACATAAAGGCCATTCAAAGTGCTTTAATTATGAAAGACAATTAAGGTAGAAATCAGCATTTTAAATACATCTGACTCTTCAAGAGGGGCAAAGGTATACTAACAAATGTTGTTTAATGACCTCTGGAAAAGCATTGATAAATTAAAGGTTTTAAGCCTAAATTAAAAATAACTCATGTTGACTCCATGTTGGAGAGGAGTTTTAAAATATGTTAATGAACCCTGAAGTTGAGAGTCAAAGATTGTTGGTGTTGGTGCATCATGTTATATTTTGTTTGAATGGAGGATTAAAAAAAAATTCTTTACTTCTTGACCAGATGGGGGGATGAAGACAGGATGTTTTCTTTTCTTTTTGTCTTTCAGATATAAATGGGGTTGTTGTTACTTATAACATCAAGATTGTGGCAGATGGGTGTATAATTCCATGGTACCAAAGTGGAGTTTGTGTTGTGGATTATCTATTAGGCTTATCCTCAGTTTCTGCTATGTAAATGTTTTTGATTAAACTGTGGCTTTCGATAGGGCTGAGAAACTGAAAATCTGAATGTGTTTACAAACTTTAGTTTTATTTCTAATCATGTAATATCTGCTTGATTGGGAGGGATCTTTTTAGATTCCTACTGGAGCTGATTTGCCGGGGACTGATGTGAAAAATGTCGAGCTTAAAGTGTTTTTGTTTGTTTTGTTTTTATGTAGAGCTGGCTGGTTTGATTCAAAGGGTCTTGTTTTTTCAGTTGAATGTGGATATAGAGTTATACAAAGTATAGGTTATTATAGGACATTTAAAGGTGGCTTTTTCTGCCCATAAGCGTTGGTAGTATTCAGTGGAGGAGGTTGCCATTTATTTTTTTAAATAGGAGTGAAGGTGAGTCCAAAAAGCTCTGACAGCCTGCGGGGGAAACTAATGCCTAAATAATTGATGTGATCTCTGCCTAAAAGAAGAGATAATGAATGGGCCGCCACGTCTGCTGTCGCTGTAACTCTTTGAGCTGAAACACCCCTGTTTGATTCCAGTTTTGAAACCTTTATTGCATGTCCCTACCCTTCTCTCTTCTTTATGTGTACACTGTCATCTGTCAAAGATAAAAGTGAAATGCCTGAAAAAAATGCTCTTGAAAAGCAGTCCCTCACAATTGTTCTGTTTAATCATCAAGTGGGATCCCGTTATATCTTCTGTTCCATGACTTTAACATGGATCCTGTGAAAAATGTTAGCAGACCTCCTTGAAATAAACTGCGGAGCAAACACATAGTATATTAAGCTTGAGTACATTTTTAGATTAGTGAAATGTACAGTACAATATGTGGAAGGTGCTCAGACAAAATAACATTTATTAAACAAACCCTTTGCTTTCCTTAGGTGATATATTTTATTATCTCATATTACACTTTGTTACTTCATACCATTCAATTCAATGTACATCTATACTTACAATAATAATAGAACAATTTATTACAATGACTACAAAATAAAACACGGCCACATTCTTAGGCAAAGTCATTTCCGTCTCTAGTCTAGTTCTACATTTCTTCAGTGTTTGGCAATGGCCACTGTAGGTGACTGTTAAGATGGGAACTTGACACACAGTAAAGGCAAGATGCTCTGTAACTGAAGGGGATAGATAGTGAAGAGAGACACACAGTGATGAGGCTAGAGATTTTGAAGTATTGGAAACAGCAAGAGATGAGCCAGTGGAGCAGCCGTCTCCATGACAGCTTGCCTGACAGTTGCATGCATCTCGAAAGAGAGGTTGGAGGAACGATAACATCATGGACACAGTGGGGGGATGCATGATCTCACTGAAATAAAAGTTAACTGTAGAAATGATAGTGTGTCCATCTGCTATTGGCTGACAGCTTGACGGATAACAAACAGACAGCAGCAATGTTCCACTCTGAAGTCTCACCTGCTGTATGAGTTGTGTGTGTGGTTATTGGACCATTTCCTGTGTCTTATGTATACAGTATAGAATATTTTGATATCAAAGATCTAAGCCTCTTTCTGACAAAATAGCAGAGTTGAACAAATCTGATGATGAAACCATCTTTGAATTTCTTTAAAGTATTATACATGATACCAGATGCGATCACTTTGTTGTAATGGCTACATACAGTATGTTCCGGTACCCTTTGTTCATATTTGTTGTCATTTCCTCTTCCAGCCTACTGTAGGAACTCAGTGGACGGACAGTGGTACAGCTACGATGACAGCAGCGTAGACTTGGTTCCTGAGGAAGAGGTTTGCACCAGAGGAGCGTACATTCTTTTCTACCAGAGACGCAACCTCATTCCTCCGTGGTCGGCCAGTTGCTCTGTCAGAGGTACGTCATCAAACTACTAGCAAACAGGAGATACTGGGTAAAAAATGGTGTTGTTAGTTGAAGAAAAATGTTTTAATTAAAGGGGACCTATTATGCAAAATCCACTTGTTCATGTATTTTATACATAATCATGTGTCCCCTCTGTGTAAAGAGATTCTGAAAGTTTCAGGAAAAAAGATTCACTCACTTTTTGTCCTGATCCATTTATATAAAAACCTGTCTGAAAATGAGCTGATCAGATTTTGGCCACTTTATGATGTCATCAAAAATTGTTGGCTTGTGTAACCATTAGCCAATCACCAACCAAGGTAACACCCCCCACCTTATCACCTGAATCTCCTCCTAGAGCACCATTGTGTTCTTTTTAACCAAATATCTCTCAGAGGGGCGTGGGGAGAGGCTCCTTATTTTCATCTGAAGTAACAGACAGAGAATCAGCACTTTTGAAACAGGGCTGAAACAGAGGGGATTATGGGATGCTACAATGATCTGTTTGGTATTTCGAGCCAAACACTTCAGAGACATGTTTTGTATATATCTGAGACCTATAATATATAGATGAAAAACAGTATAATAGGCTTTAATGTCTTCACTTCACACACTTCTCATATTATCCCTGAGCTTTCCGAGAGTTGCAGATAAGAGATCTGTCTGACAGATTCTGATGAAAAATAAGCAGAATAATAATTCACCAATTTTGTTTGCACAGTACAGTAAATGCATTTTTCCTATGCATAAGGAGGAACAAGCTGTTCAGAACTGGAAGACAGGGAGAATATACATCTTCACAGATGTGATCCATCAACACATACCGTATAGTAGGGCTTTCATGAATGCTGCATTTGAAAAAGTAGTCTAATAATTGATTAATCAACTATCAATTATAATTGTTTAACCCAATAACATTGATCAATTCTTATCAAAAGATCTCAATACTACAAGTAAAGATTTAACTGATGTAGGCGGGAAAATAGCGGAGTCTCCGATTGGCTTTGAGAAAATGTTTAAACAAGCTTTGATCTTAAACTAAAACCACTTAGTGAAATAGAAATAATCCTGGATGGTTGTAAAATTGTTTTAATATAGACATCTTAAATCTCAATATTATCTCAATATTCTGATATCGATTAACAATACGACTGCTTTCTTGCAGGCATTTCATGAGTCTGTCCATTTCTAAATACCTTCAATTATATTCATTTAACATGGCACGACAAAGAAACTGATTGCTCAAAAGAAGCTATTCAAAAACGGTTGTGAGAATGTCATCTTCATTAGCAATGCTTTCTTACTGCAGTGCTAAACCCACTGATTAGTGCACACAATGCAAAGCGTTGACTAGTGGTTTGACATTTGTCTGTTTCTGTGAAACACTTAGTGGATTTAGTTTAGCTTTAGGAAACAAAAATAGTCACTAAATTGTTGTGGATTAATTATTAAAAAACAGAACATTTAAAAGGAACACAGTAGGAACAGTAAAAGGTGTTCTTCATAGTTTAAAGCAATTATTTAGACTGAAAGAAATATATAACCTAGCCTCATAAAGAAAATATAACCCTACTTACACAATTGTACAATTTAACAATACTTGTAGCTCAGTAGCTGGTATAGGTTTCTGTTCCACAGGGCAGATGGTGCCCTTCGCCCTGACATTTCAGTAATTGAAATTTGGCTCCAATAGCGAAACAATTATTCCAGTGTTAATTAAAAAATAATCACTTTAACCTCGGCAAATATCAAACATATAAGACCCTTACAGCGCATACTTACAATTGTTTTTAAATCCATTTTGTTCACGGTGCATCTGGCCAAAGCGGTGTGCTGTGCTTCAAAAAAATTGCACTCAGAAATGACTTAAATATCAGACAAAATGCAGGCCGGCATATAGAGGACACATTCAGGTGATCTTTAAGGTTAGGGTAATCTGGAGAATTTTTTTTTTCGTTCTCTGGTAAGACAGTACATGATAATAAATGTCAGCAGATTTGTAACATTATTAACCGGCCATGGCTGCTCAGCGGAGGGCAAGCCCATATAGAGACCACAAATGTCAGAAGGCCTCTTATTTGTTAGGTTTTACCTTTATCATTATGAACTGTCTGTGTTCCACTATATAGTGCATGTCCGAGAGAGCCCTATTTTTAGCTCCTGCATTTAAAGGGCACATATTTTCTTCATATAATGTACTCTCCCTAGATAAGTTTGTCCTTCCTGAACAAAGAAACACTAAACAGCTTTGAGTTGAACACATGTTTCCTCAGGTAAAGGCTCGGAACATTTCCTCTTGAAACTGAACAATTCTTTGTGCCATCTTGTATTTCTCAACCTCAATTAACATTAAAGATGAGTTACATCCAAGCACAACATCACAGACTCTTGCATTGTGAGCAATAGGTTCCAACATGAGCACAAGATATTCATTTTTCATTGCTGTTCTCACTGTTTAGTAACATCTAAATGTGGTGACTGCTGAGTTCTTCTGTGTTAAACATTCGCTGTATGATAATATAAAAGGATACTTTTCCTACTTTGATTGTTGATTATTTAGTCAACAAGGGGGGGGGG